TCACTTGATCCCAGGAGTTGGAGACCAACCTGGGCAACATGACAAGACCCCATCTCTACTTTTTTTAAGTGAACAATTGAGCGGCATTTAGTTCATTCACAATGTTATGTAACCACTATTTCTGTCTAGTTCCAGAACATTCTCATCACCCCAAAAGGAAACCCCATACCCATTAAGTAGTCCCTCTCCATTCCCTCTTCCTCCGGCCCCTGGTAACCACTGCTTTTCTTTCTCTGTATGGATTTGTCTGTCTTTGGGTATTTCACATAAATGGCATCATACACTATGTGGTCTTTTGTGACTAGCTCCATTCACAAGAAGCTCACCTTGTTTTCAAGGTTCATTCATGTGGTGGCATGTGCCTTTCATTCTTTTGCATGGCTGAGTAAAATTGAATTGCATGGATAGACCACATTTTGTTAATCCATTCGTCTGTTTAGAGACATCTGGGTTGTTGCCATCTTTGGCTATTGTGAACAGTGCTGCTGTGAACATTCAGGTTACAAGTATCTGTTTGAGGCCGGGCACGGTGGCTCACCCCAGCAGTCCTAGCACTTTGGGAGGCTGGGACGGGTGGATCACTTGAGGTCAGGAGTTCGAGACCAGCCTGGTCAACACGGTGAAACCCCATCTCTACTAAAAATAAAAATAAAAGTGGTACCTGTTTGAGTCCCTGTTTTCAATTCTTTGGGGGTAAAAACCTAAAAGTGGAACTGCTGGGTACATGGTAATTCTGTGTTTAACTTTTTTAGGAATGGCCAGTTTTCCACAGCAGCAGCACCATTTTACACTCCTATCAGTAATATGCAAATGTTCCAATTTCTTCATCTCCTCACCAATATTTGTTATTTCCCATTTTTAAAATAATAGTCATCCTAGTGATAGGAAGCCGTGTGTCCTGTGGTTTTGATCTGTTTCCCTAATGCACATCATTACGTGGTGAGCATATTTTCATGTGCCCACTGCCCATGTGTGTATATCTTCTTAGATCGTCCTTTGCTCACTTTTGACTCCGGTCATTTGTCCTTTTGTTACTGAGTTAAAAGCACGGGGTTAACTTATTTTTATTTTTATTTTTTATTTTTTGAGACAGTCTTACTCTGTCACCCAGACTGGAGTACAGTGGCGCAATCTCGGCTTACTGCAACCTCCACCTCCCAGATTCAAGTGATTCTCCTGCCTCAGCCTCCCAACTAGCTGGGACTACAGGCACCCCCCACCACACCCGCCTAATTTTTGTATTTTTAAGTAGAGACGGGGTTTCACCCTATTGGCTAGGCTGGTCTTGAACTCCTGACCTCGTGATCCTCCCCTGTTGGCCTCCCAAAGTGCTGGGATTACAGGCGTGAGCCACTGTGCCTGGTCTTTATTTTTATTTTTTGTGACAAGGTCTCGCTCTGTCACCCAGGCTGGAGTGCAGTGGTGCAATCACAGCTCACTGCAGCCTCAACCTCCTTGGCTCAAGCGATCCTCCCACCTCAGCCTCTTGTGTAGCTGGGACCACAGGCGCACACTTCCACACCAGGCTAATTTTTGTATTTTCTACAGAGACTGGGTTTCACTATGTTGCCTAGGCTGTTCTTGAACTCCTGGGCTCAAGTGTCCTCCTGCCTCACCCTCCCACAGCTCTGGGATTACAGGTGTGAGCCATGATGCCCAGCCTGAATTTTTAAGTAGGGTGAGCAGAAAAGACCTCCCTAAGATGATGACTTTTTTTTTTCTTTTGAGATGGAGTCTCGCTCTGTCACCCAGGCTGGAGTGCAGTGGCGCAATCTCGGCTCACTGCAAGCTCTGCCTCCCGGGTTCACACCATTCTCCTGCCTCAGCTTCCCGAGTAGCTGGAACTACAGGCACCCACCACCATGCCCGGCTAATTTTTTGTATTTTTAGTAGAGACCGTGTTAGCCAGGATGGTCTTGATCTCCTGACCTTGTGATCTGCCCGCCTCAGCCTCCCAAAGTACTGGGATTACAGGCGTGAGCCACAGCGCCCGGCCAGATGATGACTTTTAAGTGAAGACCTTAAGAAGGTGATGGGGGATGCCAAGGGGATATCCGAGAAGAGCATTCCAGGCAGAGAGGATGCCAGATGCAAAGACCCTGAGGTAAGTCACTTTCATTTGTCTGTAACTTGGTTTTCCTGTCTGCAAATGGGGAGGAATAAAACCATGAAGCATCACATCAAATGTTGGCAAATTATCAACACCTGGGCTCGCCCACAGCTCTTGCTCTTAAGCAAGATACTTAATGTCTTAGAGCTTCCATTTGCTCACCTGTAAAATGGTGATAATAATTGTACCAACCTCACAGTGTTATCAAATTAAAAGAAATATGATTTGCCAGGGCTTGGCACACAGTAATGTTCAGAAATGCAGGGTTTGAACGCAGACCAGGAGGACTTCCAGTCCTGAGGGGTGATCACGGCTCACTGCAGCCTTGATCTCCCAGGCTCAGGTGATCCTCCCACCTCAGCCCCTCGAGTAGCTGAGACTACAGGCACGTGCCACCATGCCCAGCTAATTTTTGTATGTGTTGTAGAGACGGGTTTCACCATGTTGCCTAGGCTGGTCTCAAACTCTTAGGCTCAAGTGATGTGCCTGCCTTGGCCTCCCCAGGTGCTAGGATTACAGGTGTGAGCCACTGTGCCTGCCTGCCTCCCTCCCTTGCTCCCTCCCTCCCTCCCTCCCTTCCTTCCTTCTTTCCTTCCTTCCTTCCTTCCTTCCTTCCCTCCCTCCTTCCTTTCTTTTTCTTGAGTTAGAATCTCACTCTGTCTCCCAGGCTGGAGTGCAGTGGCACAATCATGGCTCACTGCAGCCTTGAACTCCTCGGTTCAAGCGATCCTCCTGCCTCAGTCTCCCAAATTGGGATTACGGGCATGAGCCACTGCACCCAGCTCAGTTCCCCTCATTTCTAGGGGAGAGTCTGAAGGGTTTCATGGTATGGGGGCCTGTGGTCCATCCTGACTGGTACCCTGTACATACACGTGTCTGCCCAGCAAATACCATTCGGGGAAATAAAAAAACACAAGATCTATCTTTTTCAACACAAGTTACCATGGTGTTTTGCTTTGTCTTGTTTTTTGGTGGCAAATAGATTGTGGGCCTTGGGGTCTCAAGTGAGTGCTCAGATCCCAGCTTCCGAGAAATTCCAGTCAGCTATTTAAAACGCCGAGCAGAGCCTGGTGAGAGTGAAACCACAACCCACTAGTTTCCAGCCCTTATTTTTCTCCCTCTAGAAAGAACTAGGAATCAGGAATCTCAAATTCGAGTCATCACTTTGTCCAAAGCTAACTCTGTGACCTTGAGCAAATCCCTTCCCCTCTCTGCCTCAGTTTCCCAGGAATCCCTCTGTAAAGACCTTTTCCTCTCTGTAACCATGGTGGTGCTGCTACTGACCAGCAGAGGGCAGTGTTGCACCAACATTCTCTATGGATCTGCGTTACTTTTGCCTGACCTTGGACAGGAACATTGAAATCATTAATTAGTGGTTTGTGTCATTCTCTTTTTCAAAAAGCCTTATTTTATCCTCAGTGCATAGTCAGAACAAGGTCTTGCCACAGTGTACAGATGAGGAAGCAGAGCCTCAGAAGCATAAGAAACTTAATTACTGGTAATTTCAGTCATAACACATCCTAAATTTAGATTCTCAGAATGGTATGAACCCATTGCTGTATGTATGAGCAGCAAAGCATTGGTAATCCATTACCTGCTTTATGCATCATGAAGCACTTTCTGATCCTCAATATCAACAATTCTCATCTTATTCTCCTCCAGTTTGTAAATGAGCAAACTGTGGCTTCTAGAGGCTGTATCATTTGGCTTAGCTTTTTTTTTTTTTTTTTTTTTGAGTTTGTGATGGAGTCTTGCTCTGTTGCCCAGGATGGCCTCAAACTCCTGGCTTCAAGTGACCCTCCCACCTCAGCCTCACGAGTAGTTGGGATTACAAGTGTGAGCCATTGCACTCAGCACCTGCATATTCACAATCAGTTCCATCTTAGAGGCTGTTTGGTGGACTCCCAGAAATATTAGCTTAAAAGTGGCAGAGCCTGGCATTTTGCAGTTTTTATGTGATGAAATGTACTGAGTTCTCGTACAAATATTGCTCCTTGTTTTGCAAAAGGAATTAGGCCCCTTTCCCCGTCTCAGCAGCTGACCCATTATTAGCAATCCCCTAGGGAACTGGAATAACTTTAGATCAACAGTGGTTCTCAAAAGAGACTATCAAATGACACACTTGTCCCCAGCTCCAGATTCCGATATCCACACCCCAAACATCCAATCACTGCTTTTCATAGTCTTTTGATGGTTTTTGTTTTTGGTTTCAGTTTTTGGTTTTTAGTGTTTTTCTGAGACAAAGTCTGGCTCTGTTGCCCGGGCTGGAGTGCAGTGGTGCCATCTCGGCTCACTGCAACCTCCACCTCCCAGGTTCAAGCTATCCTCCTGCCTCAACCTCCCACCATACCTAGATAATTTTTGTAATTTAAATAGAGGTGGGGTTTCACCATGTAGGCCAGTCTGGTCTCAAACTCTTTTTTTTTTTTTGGACAGAGTCTCACTTTGTTTACCGAGCCAGAGTGCAGTGGTGTGATCTCGGCTCACTGCAGCCTTTACCTCCCAGGTTCAAGCGATTCTCTGGCCTCAGCCTCCTGAGTAACTGGGATAACAGGTGCACACCACCTTGCCTGGCTAATTTTTATATTTTTAATATAGATGGGGTTTTACCATGTTGGCTAGGCTGGTCTCGAACTCCGGACCTCAAGTGATCCACCACCTCGGTCTCCCAAAGTGCTGGGATTACAGGCGTGAGCCACCGCGCCCAGCCTAAGTTTTTGTATTTTTAGTAAAGACGGGGTTTTGTCATGTTGGCCAGGCTGGTCTCGAACTGTTATTCTCAAGTTATCCACCTGCCTCGGCCTCCCAAAGTGTTGGGATTACAGGCGTGAGCCACCGTGCCTGGCCTTCTGCTTGATCAATTCTGCTGTTAAGACTCTGATGCAGGGACAGGGGGCGGAGCTGGAGGGGGTGGTTCGGCGTGGGGGCCGTTGGCTCCAGACAAATAAACATGGAGTCCATCTTCCACGAGAAACAAGAAGGCTCACTTTGTGCTCAACATTGCCTGAATAATTTATTGCAAGGAGAATATTTTAGCCCTGTGGAATTATCCTCAGTTGCACATCAGCTGGATGAGGAGGAGAGGATGAGAATGGCAGAAGGAGGAGTTACTAGTGAAGATTATTGCACGTTTTTACAGCAGCCTTCTGGAAATGTGGATGACAGTGGTTTTTTCTCTATTCAGGTTATAAGCAATGCCTTGAAAGTTTGGGGTTTAGAACTAATCCTGTTCAACAGTCCAGAGTATCAGAGGCTCAGGATCAATCCTATAAATGAAAGATCATTTATATGCAATTATAAGGAACACTGGTTTACAGTTAGAAAATTAGGAAAACAGTGGTTTAACTTGAATTCTCTCTTGACGGGTCCAGAATTAGTATCAGATACATATCTTGCACTTTTCTTGGCTCAATTACAACAGGAAGGTTATTCTGTGTTTGTTGTTAAGGGTGACCTGCCAGATTGCGAAGCTGACCAACTCCTGCAGATGATCAGGGCCCAACAGATGCACCGACCAAAACCTATTGGAGAAGAATTAGCACAACTGAAAGAGCAAAGAGTTCATAAAGCAGACCTGGAACGAGTGTTAGAAGCAAATGATGGCTCAGCAATGTTAGATGAAGATGAGGAGGATTTGCAGAGGGCTGTGGCACTAAGTCGCCAGGAAATTGACATGGAAGATGAGGAAGCAGATCTCCGCAGGGCTATTCAGCTAAGTATGCAAGTTCCAGAAATATATCTCAAGATATTCCACGGACATCAGGTACAAACCTTACTTCAGAAGAGCCTTGGAAGAGACGAGAAGCCTACTTTGAAAAACAGCAGCAAAAGCAGCAGCAGCAGCAGGAGCAGCAGGGGGACCTATCAGGACAGAGTTCACATCCATGTGAAAGGCCAACCACCAGTTCAGGAGCACTTGGGAGTGATCTAGGTGATGCTATGGGTGAAGAAGACATGCTTCAGGCAGCTGTGACCATGTCTTTAGAAATGGTCAGAAATGATTTGAAAACAGAAGGAAAAAAAATAATACCTTTAAAAATAATTTAGATATTCATACTTTCCAACATTATCCTGTGTGATTACAGCATAGGGTCCACTTTGGTAATGTGTCAAAGAGATGAGGAATTAAGACTTTTAGTGGTTTGCAAACAAAATGATGAGAAAGTGGAACAATGCGTCAGTTGTAGGACTAAATAATGATCTTCCAAATATTAGCCAAAGAGGCGTTCAGCAATTAAAGACATTTAAAATAGTTTTCTAAATGTTTCTTTTTCTTTTTTGAGTGTGCAATATCTAACATGTCTAAAATTAGGGCATTTTTCTTGGATCTTTTTGCAGACCAGCTAATTACCTCTTGCCTCAGGCTTTTTCCATATAGTTAGTTTTCTTTTTCTCTCTTGTAGATAATTTGGCTCACATCATCTAATAGTGGCTTTCATTTCTTATTAACCAAATTAACCTTTCAGGAAAGTATCTCTAGTCCATATTGATAATAGTAATGGTTCTAGAAGGATAAACGGTTCTCCCTTCAACTGTATACTGTGTGCTCCAGTGTCTTCTTGTGTTATTTTCTCTGATCACAACTTTTCTGCGACCTGGTTTTCATTATTTTTCCTCAATTCTTTGGAAAGATGGTAATCTTTTCTGAGGTCTAGCGTTTTAAGCCCTACGATGGGATCATTATTTCATGACTGGTGCATTCCTAAACTCTGAAATCAGCCCTGCACAAGTACTTGAGAATAAATGAGCATAAAAAAAAAAAAAAGACTCTGATGCATTCTTCAGTATGTCAATTTCATTTTCAACTCTAGAATTTCTGCTTGACTCTTTTTAATTATTTCTATCTCCTTGTTACATTCATCTGATGGAAAATCTGAATTCCTTCTCTGTGTTGTCTTGAATTTCTTTGCGTTTCCTCAATACAGCTCTTTCAAATTGGCTACCTGAAAGGTTGCCTATTTCTGTTTCTGCAGGGTTGGTCCCCGGTGCCTTATTCAGTTTGGTGAGGTCATGTTTTCCTGCATGGTGTTGATGCTTACAGATATTCATCAGTGTCTGAGCAGTGAAGAGTTAGGCATTTATTGTAGTCTTCACAGTCTGGGCTTGTTTGTGCCTGTGATTCTTGGGAAGGCTTTCCAGGTATTCAAAGGGACTTGAACCCCAAACCCAATAACACTGTGGTTCTTGCGGACTCCTAAAGGTACCGCTTTAGTGGTCCTGGATAAGATCCGGAAGAATTCTCTGCATTACCAGGCACAGGTTCTTGTTCTTTTCCCTTACTTTCTTCCAAACAAATGGAGTCTCTCCCTCTCTTTCCGAGCTAGGCCTCTTGGAACTGGGGGTGGAAGGACACAAGAACCCCTGTGGCCATCACCACCGGGACTGCATTGGTTCAGACCTGAAGCAGCCCAGCACTGGGTCTCACCTAAGGTCTGCTAGAAATGCTACCTGGCCACCACCTGAGTTCACTCAAGGGCCTGGGGCTCTACAATCAGCAAATAGCAAACCCAGCCAGGGTATTGTGGCTCCCTTCAGGGCAGTGAGTTTTCCTAGGCTCTGGGTGGGTCCAGAGATGCTGTCTGGGAGCCAGGGATTGGAGTCATAAACCATTCTATAGATGTACTAAGATAGAATAGAATTCTATAGACGTACGATTCCACTGCAGCTAAGCTGGCACTCAAACCGCAAGGCAAAGTCCTTCCCACTCTTCACTCCCCTTTCCTCAGTCAGAGGAACCTCTCCTCATGGCCACCACTACCACCAGCCTACAAGGAGTTCTGCCAGGCCACTGCTGATGTTCACTTAAAGCCCCAGGGCTCTTCAGGCAGCCTGTGATGAATGCTATCAAGCCTGTGACTCATCCTTCAGGGCAGTGGGCTCCCCTTGGCCCAGGGCAGGTCTGCAAATGCTGACCAACAGCCTACGCCTGTACTCAGGGACCCCAAGAGGCTGCTTGGTGCTCCACCCGACTGTGGCTGAGCTGGTACCTAAGGGGCAAGACAGGTCCCCTTTACTCTTCCTCCTGCTTTTCTCGAACAGAAGGCATCTTTCACTGCAGCCGCCACAGCCGGGAATGTGCTGGGTCACACCTGAAGCCAGCATGTCTCAGAGCCCAGTGCCCACCGGTGGACAGGAAGTAGGATTTAGTGGTGAGTGTTAAGAAGGGGCAGCACAGTGGAAGCCCTCATGAGTGCAGGGCCCACTACTTGTCCAGAGGGCCACAATGGAGATGTACTCGTGAGACGTACACACATCTCAGATGAGCCGCTTCTCCGCCACCATGTCTTCAAATTCATCGTCATTGAACTTGGTGAAGCCCCACTTCTGTGAGATGTAGATCTTCTGGCGGCCACGGAACTTGAACTTGGCTGTGAGCAGGGCCTTAACTACATGCTCCTTGTTCTCCGGGTTCAAGGCGGATGGACATGATAACTTGGCCAATGTGAACCCCAGCCACAGTGCCCTGGGGCTTTCCAAAAGCACCTCGCGTATCTGTTTGGAGCCTACACTGGGGTAGTGCAAGGTCAGAGACATGAACATCCATCGGAAGGGCCTGTCTCCAAGGTCCCTTAGAGCAGTCCATACAAGAAACAGGCTGCGTGCCCCATCAAGGAAGCTGCTGTTTGCAGCCATTGCACACTGGACCCCCATGAGGCGAGGAACTCGGCCAGCTGAGTTGGCTGTAGATGCCCGCAGCATATTACCCGGCTATGGCTGTTGGTTATACAGGGCCCAGGGGCTCCTTTGTCAGCAGATGGTGAATGCTGCCAGGTCTCTGCTGTGATGGGGCAGCACTGAGTTCAATGTGAAGTCCCCAAGTTGCTAGCTCTCCCTCTCCCATGTGCACAGATCTGTCTGTGCCACATGGTCACTGCCAGGGGTGGGAGTGGGGGGTGGCCCAAGAACTCCCTTAGCTGCCCCAGCTAATGTCTCAGGAGGTTGTGTGCCTCTGACTCCACAGTCCACTGGTTGTGAGCCCAGCTCGGCACTCAGGTTTGCCTGTGAATTGCAGTCCTGATGGCCTAAACTGCCCCTCAAGTCTGCTAAGGGCCCCAGAGCACTCCAGCTCGCAGTGGCAAGGCTTGCCAGAACTCAGGCTCCAACTGCCAGGATGGGCAATTCCGGTGAGTGCCAGTCCAAGCACTCCCTGTGTGAGCCAGTGTTAGCTAAGTACACTTGGATTCTGCTTTCTGCTGTGACAATGTGAAGTCTCACAATCACTGTGCTCTTCCTCTCCAAAGCACACCAATACTTCATGCCACGGGGCCGCTGCTGGGGGGTGGGGGATGGGTGGCGTCAGCAACTCAAGACTGTCTTTCCTGCCCTCTTCAACATCTCTTTCAGAGATACAAGGTTAAAACCGGGTACTGTGATTGCTCACCTGATTTTTGGTTCTTGCGATGGTTCTTTTTGTGTGTTATTAGCTGTTAAAATTTGGTGTTCCTGTGAGGGGTCAAATGATCAAATGATGTAGGTTTTCTTTTCTTTCCTTTTCTTTTCTTTTCTTTCTTTTTTTGAGACAGAGTCTTGTTCTGTCACCCAGGCTGGAGTGCAGTGGCGCGATCTGGGCTCACTGCAAGCTCCGCCTCCTGGGTTCACGCCATTCTCCTGCCTCAGCCTCCCAAGTAGCTGGGACTACAGATGCCCGCCACCATACCCAGCTAATTTTTTTGTATTTTTAGTAGAGACGGGGTTTCACCGTGTTAGCCAGGATGGTTTCAATCTCCTGACCTCGTGATCCGCCCGCCTTGGCCTCCCAAAGTGCTGGGATTACAGGCGTGAGCCTCCCCGCCCGGCCAAATGGTGTTGGCTTCTATTCAGCCATCCTGCTCCACCCTCTGATTTTTTTTTTTTTTAATTGAAAGGCACAGGCAAAGTTTGGTGCTGGTGGTGGTAGAGAGAATAGTGATTATTAGCAGAAAAAGAAAAGAGCTCCAGGATGCTGTCTATATTTAATATGCAGGCCTGCCTCCTGGCTGGATCATATTGATGGTTCAGGTAGAGGGACAGGGTCGCCACTATCCCCCCCCAACTGCTCCATGTCATCAGACCTCTGGCTTCTCACACAGCCCAGGTACATGGGACTCTGATTTTTCTTCTCTTTCTTTTTCTTTTCTTTTTTTTTTTTTTTTTTTTGAGACAGAGTCTCACTCTGTCACCCAGGCTGGAGTGCAGTAGTGCCATCATGGCTCACTGCAATCTGCATCTCTGGGTTCAAGTGATTCTCCTGCCTCAGCCTCCCAGGTAGCTGGGATTACAGGCACCTGCCATCATGCCCAGCTAATTTTTGTATTTTTGCAGAGGTGGGGTTTCACCATGTTGGCCAGGCTGTTCTTGAACTCCTGACCTCAGGTGATCCACCTGCCTCAGTCTATCAAAATGCTGGGATTATAGACATGAGCCACCATGCTCAGCCAGGACTCTGTCATTTCATTGTGCAGTCCTACAGACCTTCTCTTTCATCTGTACCTGTTTCACTAGCCAGGGCACCAGTCTCCTGAGGACTGCCTAGGTAAATGCCCGGATTAATTTGCTCCTCTAAGACATTTATAGACACTCTCTGTGGACAGATCATACACTCAGCAAAGAGCAGCAAACAGGTCTTAGCACCCTGTGAACCTGATACTGGAAGGGGCCCCACACCCTCTCATATCACCCTCATTTAGTCTTATTTATACAAGTAGCAAATTTAGGACTCAAGATCTGCCCTGTATCGATGTCTTTCTAGGCATTTTGTTGTCTGAAGTTTGTTATTTCTCAGGAAGAGATCATGGGAATAATAGCGCCTGAGGTCTTCTGTCACAGCGTGGCATGT